CATAAACATCGTCACAGCTCTGAGGATGGCTAAGAAGCCCAAATGTTAGCAAACAAAGTAAAGAACAACTTTTCTTTTCTGTTTTTAAAAAGAACCAAGGAATGCAAGATACTCAGTTACATTTATACATAAACCTGATGAACATAATCAGTTAGGTAGATTACAGGCTTGTCTTGAAGACATAAAAAATTGGATGACTCTAAATTTTCTGCTTTTCAATCAAGAAGGGACTGAAGTTTTCTTCAGAAAAGGAAATTGCTTAGTCCATCATCTGACCTGAACAGCAATAGATTAGCCTCTGAGAATAAAGTAAACAACCTTGGTGTTATCTATGACCAGGATAAACAGGTTTGTAGGATTTCCTTCATACACCTCCGGAATATTGCTAAGATTAGGAGCATCCTTTCCAGGAGTGATGCTGAAAAACTAGTTCATGTATTTATTACCTCAAGACTGGATTACTGTAATTCATTACTATCAGGAAGTCCACAGAATGTAGTTAAAAGTCTTCAGCTTGTCCAAAATGCTGCAGCTAGAGTTCTGATGAGAATTAAAAAGAGAGTTAATATTTTTCCTGTCTTAGCTTCCCTACATTGGCTACCTGTTAAATTCAGAATAGATTTTAAGATCCTCCTTCTCACATATAAAGCTCTTAATAATCAAGCTCCATCATACATCAGTGATCTGATTGTTCCATACATTCCTAACAGAGCACTTTGCTCTCTCACTGCAGGTCTACTGGTGGTTCCCAGAAGATCTAAAATAGGACTGGAGACAGATCATTTAACTGTCAGGCTCCTCTCTTGTGGAAACTGCTTCCAGCTTTAGTCCACGAGGCAGACACCTTGTCTACTTTTAAGACTAGGCTTATTTTATAGGGCCTACAGTTAAAATCTGATGTTAGCCCAGATCTGGACGAGTGAGGGAGTAGAGAGAGGCGGAGTGTACAGTAGAGAATACAGTAGGTAAAGACAGCTCTCCCTTGTCCTGCCTCCAACATGCCTCCATCTAAAAGGCTACGTTATCCACAGTTGTATCTGTAGTTATGCTGCTATAGGCTTAGACTGCTGGAGGAAATATTGATCACGTTCCGCACTCTTTCTTCTACCACTTCTCTCTAATTGCATTACTTCCTCCAATTTCAGCTGTTAACTTTATTTTCTCTCTAAGTGTTTATCTCCCCAGAAGAAGCTACAATGGTGTTCTGCTGAGCTGTGGAAGCATCACGGAGGGGGCCATCGGCTAGCACTCTGCTGCTAACCACTTAAACATTCTCCCTCTCCTGATAACATTTTACTTTCTTTGACATTGAATGTGCTACTACTAGAACATCTGTTAAAGTGCAAGTCACCCCCTACCAGATTCTTACTCCACTCCCACTTCCTGTTTGAAAAATGCAACAAATGCTTTTGCCTAGCAGACCGAGAGGGTGGAGGCGCTAACACACACACACACACACACACACACACACACACACACACACACACACACACACACACACACACACACACACACACACACACACACACACACACACACACACACACACACACGCTCACAACGGCATTGTGACATCATAATGTACCAGTTAACATCATGGCATACCTCTTAGCCAATACCGGTGGCAGATTAACATTCAAATGCAATGCAGAGTTTTTACCTGGCACAACACTGACAGTTTTAGGCAGAATATTTAAATTTTAACTAAAATGCACTGAAGTGCCAAATTATTGACTACATGTGTCTGTCACGTTGTGGGGATATTTAGGACCCAAATATGCAGATTACCCAGACGACAAGAGGCAGAAGTTAGTACAAAGTAAAAATCCTTTTCTTTGCAGGATAAAAGAACAAAAATAAATCCAAGGCAGCGAGCCAAAGTCCAAAAGTCCTAGAGCACAGGACACCCAAAGCTCTCTTAGAGCACCAAAAAACCTAGAGACAAGAAGCTCACTAAGAGCACGAAGACCTAGAGACGAAAAGCTCAGACAGAGCACGAACAAATGCTGACAGAAAATACAATGGACCAACAACCACACAGAGACAAGACAGGGCTTATATAGACTGGGAAGATGAGAGGGAGATGAATTGCAGGTGTGTGGGGAGAGGGACCAGGTGAACACAATTACTAACTCAGGGAGGAGGAAGATAACACTGGTGGAAAAAAACACACTAAATGATGAAAGACTGTAACAAAGGAAAATGACCCAAGAGAAAAACAAAAGACCAGAAGGTATGAACATAACTAATATTCCAAGGGGAAGCTGACACTAAAGGAAAACACTACAGAAAGAAACTACAGGGGCGTGGCTAAGAGGGGACCAAGAGAGCACAGGACCTGGGAGAGGGAAGTCTGAGGAGGGAAACCTAGAGGGCAAATGGGGAACACCAGGAGACACATGAGGAAGATGCAGACACGACACATGAGGACGCTAGAAGACACAAAAGGAGCACCTAGAGACGAATGAGGACAAAAGGAGACACATGAGGTGAGACGCAGACACAGACCAAAACAGTGTCTGCAGCACGATTAGACACATATTTATATAGTTTATCAGCAAAAAAAGTTGATTTGGGAGTGACTTGCTCTTTTATTAGAGATTCACTAAGATAAAGACAATAAAATTGATCTCTTACTAAATAGAATATTTACTAAGAAATCACAATGTAGCCATAGAAACACTACTTGGTATTTATGTTGTGTAGAGATGTGTAGAATGAAGGTACAGTATTTCCTTAAAAAGCCATATAAAAAAAAAGCTCAACTATTTGTTTTGACGGGCATGACACTGGGTTTATGTTTACATCTACCAGCCAAAAGAGGGCACTATTGAGGGTTGTTAAACAGTCGCTTGGCACAGCGAGGCTGGCCCTGTGGAAAATGGTGGATTCAACATGTCCAGCAGTTGCTTCTGAGCCCAGAAGATGTCATCCTTCTCGGAAGAGGAGCGACCATAAAGGATCTAAAACAGAGTGAGTTTAGGTGAAGCCTACGGCAGAAGGACCCAAATAAAAATTTTCACATATTGACAGTGAGCCTGGTATCCCAACAGCTGGAAACCTTGTTCTATTATTGCAACTACAACCTCTACACACTAGACGTCACTTTGGTGTTTGTGTTCCATACTCCACCTTTAAGGGGACTTGATCTTGATTTAAAATATGTTTAAATAAATCAGCCGGCTGAGGGGTGGGAGGCTGCAGGCCTGCGGGCTTGCCGCTGATATCTCCCGGGACTCTGGCGGCTGCTGGTTGTAGCCCCCCGGGGCAGTCCTCTGCGCCTCTCAAGGGGGGGCTGGGGCTTCCCTGGTTACAGTCTCCCTGGGGTCCCTGTGCTCTGGAGCAGCTCCTGGATCTCTGGGACTTGAACCCTAACCCTAACCCTCCATTTCCTACACGTCTTTGGTGGGCAGATCTGTGGCCCCTCACACTCTCTATTTTATGCTTCTATAGAGAAACCTTACATATACAAGTGCGTGTACACACACAGGTGCTCACATGGTGCTCTCAAAAGTATGGACTTGGGCACATTCAACACATGTCTTAAGGCTGTGGTTGGCACTACATGCACTGTGATTTATTATCGTGTGATTGTTCAGTAAAACAATGTTGACTCCATATTTCCTCATTAGGTTGATGCAGTGATAGCTTGCTCCTGTTGTATTACAGTGTGTCCCTTTTATTTATTTGTTTGTTTTTCTCTTTCTGCAGGTCTAGAAGCAGACTCTTGTTCATTATTGATTGTTTAATTTTGTGGACCCCCCCCCCCTCCCCCCCATCTCCTCCTTTCTCTTTCACCTCTTTCTCCGTGTCTGGTCGGAATTACAAAGCATTCAAAAACAATAACAATAAAGTTTTAAGTATCAGGCGTGACATTAAAGCAGACGCTTTGATGCTCCACCTGAGAGTAAATCTGTTAGGCTTGTCACCAGCATTCAGACATCAATTCTGCTTGCTTCACAGCCAGACAGGACACGGCAAAGAAAAAAAAAATTAAAAAGGTTTAAACTTTTCTTTGTAAGAAATTTTAAGAGAATTGTCACCTTTGAAATTTTAAAATTTGAAGAGTTAACTGACAGAAAAAAAGTATTTTTTATAAAAATATCTGAGGTCTTACTAATCTGACATTCCTAGGGAAATTTTTTATTTTACACCAAAAAACTAATGAAAACCTCTACAGAAACAAAAAAACGAACAGCTTGCATCCTAAGAAGACATAGGGTAAATTTTATTAATCAGCAATTAATCAACTGAATATAATTTTTTAGTTGCTTATGCGCAGCTCTTTGAGATAACCTTTATTGTTGCCTAAATCAAAATGAACAAATTAAATAAATGATCCATTTTTTCATCTTTATGCCATGCCTCATTGCTCAATGGATGACTGAATATCAGCAGAATAACACAACAGAGTTCTAGGCTTAATACAAACACACACCAAGCTAAGAACCTGCCAACAACGGTTGGCATAGCTCATTGGAGCGTTGGGTGAACCTAGCTGCCAGCTCATACTGAGACTAGATGTCAGGTGTTAACAGAGTAATATACGTGCAGGTGTGTTGCGGATGTGTGTATGAGTGTGCGGGACATCATGTGTGCCTGTGTGTGTGGATTTATGTACTTTTGGTTTGAAAGGATCTGGCTTGTACAGTGTTAGAGTACTGGGCATGGCACAGCATATAAGCCCTGGAGAATAGCAGGCCAAGACGTGTGTGTGTGTGTGTGTGTGTCTGTGGACCCCTCACTGACAAACAGATGGCAACAGCACTACAGGTAGAGTCAAAATTTCTTCACATACAGTGCAAATGACAATGACACACACACTCACACATAACGTGTAATTAATAATTACATCACTGCACAATTTTTACTATAAATTCTGTTAAAACAAACATTTCATGCACTAAAATCTTTGTATGTGTGTGGATACTCTTTAATCCATAAAATCTATCCAGTAATATTGAATATAACACAATTTTGCTGCTTGTGTGCATTTTTACCTTCACGGTGAGAGCAGTGACAGTGGCTGAGTTGAAAGTTGGGTCCTGTTGGTGCTTGACATAAACTAGTTTATACAGAGTAATAAAACCATTGGGCTGCGCTGGTTCACCCCATTTAAGGTGGACTGAGTATGCACCTGTCAGAGTGAACAGCTTGTGTTACAGGTGCAACATAAAAAACATTTTAGCAACCATTTTGTTTAAGGATCTGGCAATCTTACCTGAGGATATAACATCAGGAGGGGCCATGTCTTGTGGTTTACCCTGCAGCGTCTGAATTGAAGTCCACTGACTCCGAATGGAGCCTTTAGAGTTGAAGGCATGGATCTTGTACTGAAAGTAGCTAAAGGGTTGTAGTTTAGGGCTTGCATCAACAAATTCAAGCAGGCCATTGGACCAGATGAAAACCAGGAGCTCCTCCTCTGTCCCCAATGGACGCCTGCAGGGAGATCCATCAGAGTTTATGCCCATCATCTCTGTCTGAACACAAAATGGATGAAGAGCCACTGGCTTCACTTTTTCCTACAACCCCCCAAGGTGCTTTACAACACAACACACATGAGTGAATCCACCCATTCACATGCTGCTGGTGATGAGCTAAATTGTAACCACAGATGCCCTGGGGCATGCTGGCAAAGCCAAGCTGTCTGGCACTGGCTCCACCGATCTCTCCAACCACCACAAGCAGGCAAGAAGGGTGAGGTATGCGGTTCAAACCTTCAACCCTTTGGTTACAGCACAGGCACATAACTTCTCTGACACCATCCCCCAAAGTATTATTAAACTATTTGTGTTACATTTTGCTGAAGGTGTTACTATAGTAACCTCTAAAATGGAGGAGAAACATTGATGCTGAAGAGCACTTCAGAAGTAAAGCCAGGCTCTCACCGGGCTGTGTCCAATGGCAACTGGTTACTTAAATTGTAAGAAAAATGCACATACAAGTGAAGTGTAAATGTTCTTGTTGGGATTTAGCTACAACGTGTCTTCATTTGTTTGTAAAATCATTCTGTTCACGCTCAGAATGTCTGACTCTGTCTCTAATCAGCCACAACTTCAGTTTCATAAGTTCACAACTCCTTCCACAGTTGATTCTCAAGTCAGCAATAACTATGTGAATAAGTTGAGATAAAATTTGTTTTGCAAAGTTTCAGAACATGTTCCAAAGTCCTGCAGAATGAGATCAATGCCCCGTATCTTATGACCCTTGCAAATAGTTTAGAACATTGTGGAAACTGTCTTGCAAATGCTGTTTGACATTTTGTTGCTAAAGGTCACAGCTTAGTGAGATCAAGGCCTAAAGAGTGATGGATTAGCTTGTAGCGCATTAAAAATGTACCCAAGTTTCTCATTTAGTATCTTGTACTTTGGAAACAAACACCTTCAGTTCCTGTGGAACCACGATAAAAAATGTAGCATCATGTCGTAAACATTGTGTTTAAGCTCCTGGCTGATGCAAGCATCCTGATTTCCTGGTAAGCCCGCCGCTCGTGGTTACGCAGGGCTTCAGGTGTGTGTATCAGAGAGAAAGACAGACATTTCTCTATTTTATCCAAGTCCCTGTCTGCCTGAGTCTGATGATTCCAGATGTGTTGGTGAGTGTCTGTGTGTGTGTCTGTGCGTGCACTTGTGTGTGTAGAGCTATGCTAATGTGTGTTTCCTGAAGACTTAAAGGGCTTAGTCTGGTCTGACCCTGCATACAGATCACACAGTCTTTGGTCAACAAGCAGACCACGACCTTCAACATACTTTTAATAAACACACACGCGCGCGCACGCACACACACACACACACACAGACTGATAAACTGGTTTCTTCTTGAGATCGCATCACCAAACTTAATTGTGAGAGCACAGAAGCTGCATACCGTTGTCAATGATGTGTGTTACTTCCTTCTGGCCTGGGTATTGACATGATCAATAAGTTCTACATTTATCACATTTCAATCTTCCTTCACCATTTAACAATAAAATACAGTTAAATTATTTGTATTTATAAATGAAGCAAACGTTGTACTTCCCTGAGTATTTGCGTTTGTGTAAATGTGTGTGGGCTTTCTGCATGTTACCTGTACACTTGATAGGAGGTGATGAGTCCATTTGGGTTTTTTGGGGGCGACCAGTGGACCTCCACAATATTAGGCCCAACTGCTTTTACTTCAGGAGGCTGCAGACCTTCTGGTGCAGCCTCTAAGGTGCGAACGTAGACACCATTTCCTACTCCGCACCCCTCTAAAATAACAAAAGTCATTCAGTGCAATTAAAATGACCAAATCTCATTCTAGTATGAAATAAAAGAGTAATTTTTGTCATCTGACTTTCCATCCTTAGTTTTTCTCTACGGTTGAATATTTTAAATATAAAAAGTAGGAGTTTTAAGTGAAAAATAAAATACTCACCATTTTGACAGGCCTGGACTCTTATGTGATACGAGGTGAACGGCTGTAGACCTGTCACAAAGGACTGCCTTTCTCTCCCGGCGTGATGTATTATAGGACTGTGACTTCCTGGATTAAACAGGATGTTGTATTTCACAGGCTGGTTGCTGTTTAGTTGAGCTGTGGAATCAGAAATGAGGGAAATCTGGATGGTTTGGGAACTTATAACACTGAAACAAATAACCATTATGAAAACATCTAGACATTTTTAATCTCACATCGACTAAACATTTTTTAACATAAATCCACCACATTCAGTCTATAGACTATGCAACAATCCACTATAATTCTATTACTATCTCATGAAAGAAAGCTGTTCTTAATAAAGATACCTCTCCACCCTGGTGCCTAAGTGGACGTATCTACCATGCCATAAATATAATAAAGTCAACTATGCAACAGGAGAAGTATCCCACACCTTTCCAGTGTAAAACTACAATAGCATGGTGGCACCCAGACTTCCCATTATTTTTGCTTCTATTGCCAGGTTAAAAATGTATAAAAATTCCAAGTTCTGTATGTTTGTGTCTTCAAAGTCTGTGTGTGAGACTATTTATATTAGACAGAGGAAAACACTCTTGTTCTCTCTCAGGATTTCACATCAATTAAAAAACAAAACAATTCAGTCTCTGGTCATACGTCAACAGTTCTGTGACCCACAACCAAAACCTTACTGCAGTGGCAAGCACCTAAATGGTTTTAACCTGGTAGGTTAAAACAAAACCAACTGGATTTTTATTTAGTATTTGTTGTAGATATATACTTAAAGTTTTATCATCTCAGCTTTATCAGAATCCCACACTATGGCACAGAAATAAAGCTCTTCAAAGCCGCTGACATCAAAACCCAACCTTTGTTAAATCTACAACAGAAACTGGAAAAAAACTGTACAATATCAAAAAGGGGAAGAAAACCATAGCAGACACAAAAACACGTCATTTCAAAGTCGCCCATGAGTGTCTAAAACACAACAACCTGATGAGCTTCAAAACGCAACAGCTCCACCAGATGAAACCTGGTTCATCCACAGGACACAACACCCAAACAGAAGCCGAGTGGAGCTCTGCGGATAGTTCAGTTGAGTGAGGAGAGTTTCAACATGTAAGAAAAGTAAAAAATTGAGGAAGTCAGAGATTTAACCCAAAAAATTGCAATGCAACTCTGAGTCTGATCCCAGGCAGTAACACAGCTATCCACATCTTCAGGAATGTGATCAAAACATCCAGAAGTCCTTATATCTTCATTTTATTGAGTTTCCTACTGTGTCAGAAAGACTTCTTATCTAAAAGAGGATGTAGTGGAGCAGTGGGATCATCAAGGTTTAGTTCATGTGCAACAAATCTCTGCTTTTGTCTGTAAACCAGAGACCTAAGAGGTGTGGAACATTTGTTTCATCAATACATTTGTAGTGGTCTCTAGTAGGAATGAATGCTGTGCAAGTTGTACTCTGGGGAAACAAAGCTCAGGTGCACCAGTTTTAGGCGCTAGAAGTGAGCCACATCAGAGCTGAGCTTCATACGACAGGATTTGGAGTCTTATTTCCTGATATTGGACATCTCGCCTCTGACTGGATAACAGCAACATAACTAACACCGACTCTCTTTGCTCTGCAGCGTTGATGCTTCATTTCCATATATAGCACAAGCCTGGAGGAGTTCTGCTGTGTGGTGAGTTGTTAATGCTAAAAAAAGATTCTACCAGCTGAGACAGCCTCTGCGGTTTCCTGGAAGCTAAATTAACAACAGCCTTTCCCGTTGTGAGTCAAGATGGGTGAGCCCATGAATGTTAAGTGACAGTGTGACGTATATTGTCAGGCTTTTCAAATCCCAGAGTTTCATAGTCTATTTACTATCAAAAGCTAATGCAGGAGATAGGTGTAGGAGACTATTTTTATATTCAGCCTGCATGAAAAACTCAGTGACCGAATATAATCAAAAATCTGATGAAAAAAAAAGATTTTTCTGTGTTCCACACCTTTAAAACATCATTGTATAAATTTAACAATAAAATAACTTAATAAAATATAACGACACTTGTTTCTTTTGAATGCACTTGTGCAGGTGATACACTGATACTCCAATGATTTATCTTAGCCTCAAAATTCCAACACCGTGGCCTCAGAGGTAGACTAAAACTCCCAAATGCACGCGCGCGCACACACACACACACACGCACGCACGCACGCACGCGCACGCGCACGCACACACACACACACACACACACACACACACACACACAAGTACGTCTGTCTTTCTATCATAGTGAGAAGAAGAAGAAGAAGAAAATATCATTTCTACAGCGCCTCTCAAGATAAAAATCACGAGGCGCTTCATAAAAACAAAAAAGTAAAAATATAAAAGAGAATTTAGAAAATGGTTAAAAATATATTTAAAATGAGCAAAAATAGAAAATTGTGATTAAAAAAATGTAAAGAAAGAGAGAGAGTGAATAGATAAGAGGGAAATCAGTGGATCCTGAGGAAGGTGGAATAGGTGGGGAGAGCAGAATAAAGAGAGAGGGGTGAAGAAGGTCATACAAAAGTCAGCTTGAACAAGTGAGTTTTCAGCTGCTTTTTAAAGGAGACCACTGAGTCCACTGATCTCAGGCTCAGGGGGAGAGAGTTCCAGAGTCTGGACAGCGGCAAATGATCTGTTGTCACACCCTGTCCTGTCCCCCCATTCTGTTCAGCCTTGTGTCTCTGTTAATTGCTCCCACCTGCCACTCGTTTTCCAATCACCCAAGCTCCCAGCCCTCTTGTATTTAAACTCCTTCAGCTCTGAGTCTCTTGTTGGCTCATTGTTCCCATGTCCTGCGTGCGTTTGTTATTAAAACCTTTTACGTTACCCAGTTTGTCTACGTGCCTGATTCCTCCCCAGCGTGTGGATCCTCACCTAGGGCTGGGCGATATGACGATTTTAGACCGTTTTACGATCCACACATCTGACGGTCTGTCATTTTTGAGAGACCGTTTTATCACGATTCACAGCTCTGCTGTTGAATTTCTGCCTCTGAATGAAAATGGAACTTACCTCAGGCGAATGACACGCCATTGTTTGACCCTTAACCAATCAGAGTGAGTCATAGTAATATATTAGTGCCCCGCTTGTTTTCATTTGTGTGTGAACAAACATGGCTTCGGCCGCGGCTGAGCAACAACGAGGTTTTCGTTCCGAAGAGGAACGCAGGGTTTCCTTAGCGCGCGGCGCTAACAACTTAGTGACGTGACATGTCTCGGAGAAAGCGTAAAAACACGTTGGACACTTATTCTGAAGCAGGAAAATAACACCGCTTCTTAAGCAGAGCACGTCGTCGCCTCGGCTCGTTCACCCTCTGCCGAGCCGGTGTCGGTACCGACTGAGCTCGGTCACTGGGTCGTTGGAGCTGCCCCGTGACTGCCTGATGGAAAACCAGCGGGTTTCATCAGACTCGTAGTTTCTTGTTTTTGTTGGGGACCCCCTGTATTTTACCGCTCCCTCCTGCAGTCTTCCCCTATTACAATTTAAAATGATTCTGTAAATTCTGTGTATCAATAGAAACAATCTCTGCCAGCTGCAGTAAATGTAGTTTCCAAATAATAAGAGGTGCATTCATCTGTGTATCTCATTTGATCCGCATTAGTGATATTTTCAGTACCAGAACAGTGAAGCAAAGAAAGATTCCTGAGTTTGTTAGTAATTTTATTTATTAGGTGCATCTAACCTGTTCTATTTTTCTCTGAAATGAGATCAAATCAGTGCTTCTATGGGTTGTCTCCAATCTGCACTGGAAATTTTTACTTTATTTAGAGACTTGTTTCAGAAAATATTCAGAATGCGCAGTTTTTTGCTACCACAAGCGATCTCTGGTCCAGCCGCACATCAGAGCCGTATTTGAGCTTAACTATCCACTACATGAGCAACTGGGAGCTACATAGTATTTTGAACAAGTTTGCACAATACGTTTGAAATTGACATGTTTGCACTTTAAATATGTTTACGATTTTAATTTATGTTAAGTTACTTGAAAAACGAGAAAAACTGATTTTTGTAATTGTTTCTCTCAGGGCTTTTATCATCTCTGGTGTGAGTTTAAAATATAAGTGTGTTAGCACTGTGCTGATTATCCCTAATATGAATAAATGTTTATTTATTCAATGTTTCTCTTCTTTAATACGCAATTGAAGTTATGCTATTCATGGATAAAAAATCGTGATAAAATCGAAATCGTGATAAAATATTGGAAAAATCGTGATATTCTATTTTTGCCATATCGCCCAGCCCTATCCTCACCTCCGTTCCACTCACCGGCACATCGTGACAGAATGAGCCAACCCACAAAAGGATCCAGCAGGGAGATTATCCCTTGGGAGAACCTGCTCCAGTTTCTCGCCGCGGACCACCGGCCGGCTCCTCTTCCTCCGGCATCGCCTCGCCGCGGACGCCACCGCCGAGCCCGGGCCTCAGCGATCCTCTCCACCCTCCCGGAGTCGGATGGAGACTTGGGACGGGGAGGCACAGATGGACCGCTTCTGCTATGTGGGCACCAGACTGGCTGTGTGCTCCCCCGGAGTTGGCCCACGGCGTTGGGAAGGATGCTGGGCTCCACCGTCACCCCTTGTCCCATGACGGAGCCGCGAGCTCGCCGCTGCCCCGGCTCGGCGCGCCAGCTTGGACCCGCCCCCAGTCAGACCAGCGCCTCCGTCATCTGCAGGCGGAGGAACCACGCCTACAGCCCAGCTGACAGAGCTCGCCGGTCTTCAGGCGGAGCTTGGCCGGATCCGTCAGCTCGTCAGCCTCTGGGAGTTCCAGCTGGACACCCTATCCTCCCCGTATCTCCAGGAGGAGGTTTCTGTCCAGCCAGCGGCCCCGCCTCCGGTCCAGTCAGCAGCTCTCTCGTCTCCAGGCCAAAGGACCGAGCTCGCAGCCCATCCAACAGAGCTCGCCGGTCTCCGAGCTGAGCTGGTCCGACTCCATCAGATCCTCAATCTCCAGGAGTTCAAGCTGGATAATCTATCCTCCCTGCTTTTCCAGTTACCGGCTCCACCAGGTCCCGCTCCACCAGTCCAGTCAGCGCCAGGTCCTGCGCCACCAGTCCAGTCAGCGCCAGGTCCTGCGCAACTAGTCCAGTCAGTGTCAGTTCCA